AGGGGCTCCTGGCCTTACTACTAGGAGCAAGAAGCTACGAGGAGCAAAGGGTCTTCGCTAAGGACCTCGGTCGCTCGTTCGCTGCCTCACCCATCTGCATGCACTTCGGACACTCAGCGATGGACGCTGCAGACTTGTCGGCCCAAGATAAAGCGCGCGGCTCCTGGTCGCAATTTCCGTAGTTGCTGCAGTACCATCTCTCCTGGCTTGGTCAGTCTGCGTGAAATTGGATGCAAACAAACATCGTCTTGCCAAGTCTTCAAAGGGTCAGAGCAATATGCAAACTGCGATGTGGATGAAATGACATGTCCTCATCCATGCCATGCTGAATGATCAGCTCCTTAGGAGAACAAAATAACAAGGGAATTTGAACATGATAAAGTCAGACTGATTCTGTATAGCTTCTCCTCCTCCTGTTTTTCTGGGTAACTGGTTCTTTTGTCCAAGCCACTTTCAATTCAAGCAAGGTGATGCCCCTGTCCGGGTGTCTTGCAATGCTCTTCCTTCGATTCTCTTTCACCTGGTGGGCGCTTTGGGGCGCCAGTCCCCCTCAATAGACTTAGAACAAAATCGCCTTTTGCACCACTTAGCCTTCAACCTAATAGCAATGGTCTCCAACCTAAGAGTGATGGCCTCCAACCTCATAGCTTCCCTTCCCAACCTTCTCCAACGGTACTGGCGCAGCTGCAGCCTGACATGAACATGAGCATGAGGCCGAGGTGCCATGGCCTAATGATTGACAAACTTCTTGATCTACTCTTCTCGTTGCCCCAAAAACCACCAAATGGAACTGCACTATTTGGAGCTTAGTGAGAAGACGGAGCGAATGGCGAAGTGATTGGACAGGATAAGGAAATGAACCAGGTGAGGGGCGCTGTGAATGGTCGGAATACAAAAGAGGGCCCTAGCACCAATTACATGTGAAAATCACATGGTCTCTGCCGCTTGAGTTGTGGCTCGTTCATGTCTCTTTCACATATCACTGAAACTAACCCAAGGCCCATGGCCACCTGGCCCCACTCTGGCAGCTCCAGGTCGTGGAAGCGGGACGGCGCGGAGGAACGGGTGTGGCCATGAAGGGCGGCCATCGAACGCAATGGAACTCAAGGGCCAACCTCCAGCTTTGCTATAGCAACAAGAAGCTACTAGGAACAAGTGCCTTACTAGTAGTAACAA